TGTGTTTAGGGTTTTTTAGGGTTTAGGGTTTAGGGTTTAGGGTTTAGGGTTTAGGGTTTAGGGTTTAGGGTTTAGGGTTTAGGTTTTAGGGGTTTAGGGATTAGGGACTCGGGGTTTAGAGGTTTAGGTTTAGGGTTTAGGGTTTAGGGTTTAGGCTTTAGGGTTTTGGGTTTAGGGTTTAGGGTACATCGGGCTGTGGGGCCCCTAAGGCCCATAAAGCCCTTGGCCCCCTGCGTGTCGCCTTGCACCTCGCTCTTGGAATCCAAACAGACCTCCGGGGCTCGATTTCCGTGGGGGCATGAAGGGTTTAGGGTTTAGGATCTAGGGTGTAGGGTGTAGGGTTTGGTGCTTAGAGCGACCCAAGAGTAACCTAGGAATAGCAAGGGTGCCCTCCCTTTTTGGTTTAAAGGGATTGGAATGTAGGGTTTAGTAGACAGGGTTTAGGGATCTTGGTTTAGCATTGAGGGGATAGGGCTTAGGGAAACGTATTCAAGGTTTAGGGAGTAGGGTTTAGTGATCAGGGCTTACGGGTTAGGGTTTGTGGCAAGGGTCCGGACCAGCTACCCCAAACCGCAAACCCCGAATCATGCAGAATGGCACCAGTCACCGCCCAGGACATGCGAGACCCCTGTCCTCGGGGGCCATCGTGGAAAATGCGCTAAATACAGCTAGCATCGAGTTTAGAAATTTAGGGTATTGGGGTATCAGGATTTGGGGTTTAAACTCTAACCCTGAACCTTAGACACATCAGGTTTTGGGGGTTTATCGGCAACCTGGGGCTTTAGGGTTTTAGCCGCGGTGCATTGTTGCGCTGCAATAAAATCCCGCTAAGGGCGTACCTGAAGGCTCTAGTGCAGTTTTTTTTGGGGGGGGGTACAAATAGAGGGTTCTAGTATACTACCCGTACTTCCCCAAAAAGATACTACATAATGGAGCCTTTAGGTAGGTGTCGAGGGCTTTAAGGGTGACTCGACTCCCTTGCGTCAGCTGACTTCCGAACATGTTCCGGGTAGGGGTCTTGTGATCTTTCCCGTGAAAGTTATATTCATCTCGACGGTGCTGTCGTGCTTGCAAACGATGCCATCAATCCTCGGTCTCAGTCAACAGTCCGCGACCAGGGGACGGTCCCTTCGACTTCCACTGCCCCAAGGCCATGATCATGTCAATGGGGAGCTCAGCCCCACCGCAAAGCTTACCACAGCCGGTCTCGGAGGGTGCGCCAAACCTTCGATCCCCTTCAAGCTTCCGCATGAATCACTTCCCCGTTCTCGGCCCTGGCGCGTTGGCGTGAAGGATCGCGGACCGGTGTCCCTGCGCTGGCTTCAACCCTGGGTCAGCCACATCCCGCCACGAGGCGTGCCAGGGTGTAGGGTTTATGTAGGGCTTATAGCCTGCAAGCCGAAGCCCTCTCAACTCATGGGTTTCCCTACTACCCCCCACTATACCACCACCCCCCTAGGTTTCCCCCCTTAATTAACCTTAATTCGGCTGAATGATCCCTAAGTAGCCTTAGTTTATTTATTTATTTTTTTTTTTTGGGGGGGGGGGGGAACCTAGAGGGGGTAGTATAGAGGGGGGCAGGAGGGAACCCATGAATAAACCTCTAAACCCCTAGCTAGTGACTGCCTTGCCTGGCGGTCGTCTCAGGGCCCAGAAGCAGAAAATCCCTGTTTAACGTCTGAGCCGAACACACACCTCAACATCCAAAACCTAAACCTGATGCAAGGTCGGCAACATGACTCCAACAGAACACTTACTCGTGCTTAAAATGAATGCGAGCCAATTGAGCCAATACTGGGGTTTAGGGTTTAGGGTTTGGGGTTTGGGGTTTAGGGTTTAGGGTTTAGGGTTTAGGGTTTAGGGTTGAATATAGAAGCAACCACCCCTCGCACCTCCCAGAACTCCCCAGGAGTGTCGCCACGGTAGTCCTCTCCGGCTTCAGAGTAGTAGGATGGGGCTTGGGGTTTAAACGTTAAAGGGTCTTTAGGGTTTAGGGTTTAGGGTTTGGGGTTTAAGGGTTTAAGGGTTTAAGGGTTTAAGGGTTTAAGGGTTTAAGGGTTTAAGGGTTTAAGGGTTTAAGGGTTTAAGGGTTAAAAGTTTAAGGGTTTTTAGGGTTTGAGTTTAAAAATCATCATTTACTGGCCATCGTTTCCAGCACCACAAAACAGTGCGAAGTCCAAAACCGACCCTCAAGAATGGGGACGTCCGAAAGAGAGCACCCAAGCAGAACACCAGGTAAAGGATCCTAAGAAGTTTGTGGTCTAAGGCTGTCGCTGCACGAAAACGTGCGTCGATGTAGCAGCAGAGTTCTTCCAGATCCGCGGGCTTGACGCCTCCAACAGCTTCTTGCCATGTCTTCTCCGAAACCCGAAACCCGAGACCCTAAAACCTAAACCCTAAACCCTAAACCCTAAACCCGAAACCCTAAACCCTAAACCTCTAAACCCCTAAACCCCTAAACCCCTAAACCCCTAAACCCCTAAACCCTAAACCCTAAACCTTAAACCCTAAACCCTAAACCAAAGACTTCTGAAAAGCGCACATCTGGAAAGCATCTGCTCCAGCACACCGGTTCTTCTCTGCGGCAGAGACAGCCGGCCGCAGCTCAGGTGCTTTTAGGGTTTAGGGTTTAGGGTTTAGGGTTTAGGGTTTAGGGTTTAGGGTTTAGGGTTTAGGGAAAGGCTGGGTTTCCTCGTGCCATCACCATCGCAGCAGTAGGACGGAGTCTAGGGTTTTAGGTTGGGGCTAGGGCTTAGGGTCCCCAGAATCAGCGCCCATGTTGTTAAGGGGCCCTTTTCATGCAGAGGGCCCATCTGTGGTACGATTATGGAGGTAGGTACACAAAGACCCTACAAGTCTTTGGGAACCTAATTTCCATAAAAGAAACTACAAATGGACCCTCTGGGTTGGGGATGCTCCCCTTCTACTAACAGGGGGGCTTGAATACCCCCCTATAAGGGGGATCATCCCAAACTCTCTGAGTCATAAGCCCCCCTCTTAGTAGGGAATGGGGGAATGAGGCACTCTATGCCATCCCTTAAGCCCTACACCCTAAACTTAAACCCTAAATCCTAAAGCGTGAACCCTAAACCCTAAACCCTAAACCCTAAACCCTAAACCCTAAACCCTAATCCCTTAAAGGGTATATATGTATATATCGGGGCATATGGGGTGCCTCATTCCCTCGTTCCCAAGAACCCGCCCGAAGCTTGTAAAGGCATGTTTTGGCTCGTTTAGAGTCGGGTGTATCGGTTTTGGGTTTAGGGTTTAGGGTTTAGGGTTTAGGGTTTAGGGTTTAGGGTTAAGGGTTTGGATTCGCGTTTGGGGGATTCCCTTCATGATCGCAGGAGAGGTGGAGGACGAGGACGGATCCAACCCCAATGCCTTGATACCAAAGAGTTTAAACTGCACATAGCTGCTGTTTAGGCTTTAGGGGTTTAGGGGCGTTGGGGTTTACAGGCTTTGGGGCTCAGAGGTTTTGGGGTGTAGGCTTTTGGGATGCACATGGTGGGAGCCTGAGGCTGATTGAACGTAAGGATGGAAAGCCACCATAACCCGAAGCCATCGCGAATCCCCAAAGGCAACCCCCAAGACCCAGAAAGCTTCTTGCCCTTCGGCCTTGGACCCTAAACCCTAAACCCTAAACCCTAAACCCTAAAACCTAAAACCTAAAGAGCCCTAAGGCCCTGCCTTTGCCCACGTGGCGATGTTGGCAAACTGAATGACGCGACGAGCGCAGCTCGATTTCTGGCACAAGGGGCTGCACAATGCGCGGGTTGTTTTGCAATGTCCTTGTTTATCAAGGTAGTCATTAATACTCGGAACGCTAAGGATGTATTCCTAGGAGGTTTCCCATAACATACACCTAATATGGCCCTTTAAACCCATGGGTACAACCTGAGGGGTCCAAGGTAGAATCCATGAGTTAAGCCGACCCTGATCCAGGGAGTGCCCCTAGCACTTCTGCTCTGTACACCCTCTGCTTCGAAGTCAAAGACCAAGTAAAAGAAACGCAAGGAGAGGCGCACTCCTGGCACGGACTCCGGGAAGTTTAGGGCTACGGGGCTTCGGGAAGGCTTCAACTGCCATCCCCTAAACTCTGAAGCAAGCCCTTCAGTCTGTGACCCTAAACCCTTCTCGCTCGCTACACTTCCCCGAGCCCTAGCCCCCGTATTTGGTTTTGAGGTCACGTACGGTTTCTGGCATTGTTGCCTAGGCTTAGGGTTGAGGGTGAGAGGTTTACGTTGTAGGGTACCCCGGGACCCCGTTGGAGTGACGAAGACCGAGAGGAAGATAGAGCGAGAGAGAGAGAGAGAGAGAGAACAGTGAGAGTGTGAATGAGTGAGACGACTGAGACCGTGCTCCACATCAATTCCACATCCTAAACAGCAAACACAGGTGTCTTTGCTGTGTTTGGCAATGCATCTGGAGCGCCTTCTCATGCTGTAGGCACTGCTCTCGAACCTGCCAACGGGTTGGGGAAGGGCTTTTGGTTTGGGTTGGGCTTAAGGGTACGTAGTGTAGTTTTGTTCTCAGGGCTTTTGCATGTCCACCGTGCCCAGGTGCAGTGCGGGTCTTTCATCCCTCTGTGTCCAGTCTTAGGAAAAAACCTGGTACTGAGCGAGCGGTCGAAAGACCCTGCCAGCAGCCTTAAACTACTACAGTAAAGTTTATACACATTTCTAAACCCCATAAACCTGAAAGGGAACATGAGCTCTCCGTCGTTCTGGGCCCTCGACGGTAAAGATTGTAAAGCTGAACCAGAACCCTCAACTCTAAACCCCAATAGGCGGCGCAGGCCCCAACAGAGCCTTGCAAGAACATGTCCTTGAGATGACTCAGGCGTTCACCGAGGGGCACTGATGGGAAAATGGCTAGATTTTGCCGTCTCTCTTCACGACAAGGCCCATGATCTGGATCAACGCCCGTTTGGACAACATACTTTTTCGGCCTGCGAATGCTCCAGAGGTGTTGCGGCTGACCTGCTGGCTCAGTGCTGTTCAAGCAGCATCGCGGGCCAATAGTAGCGACCTAACGTTTTGTCGAATCAAGAGGCACTTCTCTTCAGCGCATTTGTACTCGTGCTGCCGTTTCAGAGAGTCGAGCTGCTTCTGAATCGGAAGCTCGCGCTGCCGATCGCCCGCTGTGGCTTTAAGTCTCCGCCAGATACTGCGTATCTCCAGCGCTCGTTCAATTCCGCTCCTGCTCAGCCGCTGGTACATGCCTTGATTGCCAACCAGGCCCTGCAAAGAGCTCCTGACTTCGTGAAAGTTCGCGCGCGACATCTGCAGAACGACCTGGGCGGATCGGCGCTTGACGCGCAATCCTGCAGAGATCAGCTTGCGAAGCGCAAGGCGGCTAACGCCAGTCGAATTGATCCTCAATGAATGACACTTGCGTCTGCTTGATGTGGGTAGTGTGCAGGGAATTTGGCTCTCGTGAAGGAAAGTCTTCACGGCCAGAAGGACGCCAAGAGACTTTTGGTCCAACGACAAATGTATGTATTGTGGTGCCCTCAAGGAAATGCAGCCTTCGGCATCAAAAAGGCCAGCCAGATACGACCATGACGGGCAACGGGCTGTCGGAGGAGAGTCCTTCAGCCTCCTTAACTCAAGAGCGGCCGCCAGCCGCGCGGAATGATCTTGAGGCCATGAGCTTGCAATTCGGAGCTCGTGGCGCTTGCAACAACCTGTGCTGCTCAAGAGGCGTGCTGCGTGCCGGCCACCTTCACCTGCAATCGCCCACCTCAGCGCAGGCTTCTGCATGCCTACAGCTGCTTTTTCCAAGTAGACGCCACCGCCGAGCAAATTGCGAAAAAGAAGCAGCACTCCAACGCCAAAGTGGCTTTGAGTAACAGACAGCTCACAGCCGCTTCTATTCATTCTGCAGGTAACGCAGCCATCTCCATCAAAGAAGCCAGCTAAGAATTCCAGCGCGCGCTGCGGGATATAGTTGTGCGAACCGGCGCACTTAGCACGCAGCGGCAGCGGGTACCTCCTTCCGAAAGCCTCGAAATACTTGGCCGCTGGTAACTTTATTCGATTTTGCAGCTGGCGCAGGCGGTCGAAGCGGCGTTCAAGCTGTTGAAGGCTTGGCCGCCTCATGGCAGCAATTACTGACATACATGCCCGGGAGCCTGCTGTCGGCACGCGTATGCCTGACCTGACCTACTTGGGGCGTGAAGGGGCCGCGGTAGGGCACCAAGCAGAACCTGCAGCCGGTGTAGCCAAGAGCCGACACTCCCTTGCCACCCTCAGATCGAAACATGAAACCCTCAACCTAAGCCTCGACATGCCGCTGTTTTTTCTCGGACCTTGTGGCCATGCCATGCTATGTCACGGGCCATTTGGGGTAGTTGCATGTAAGGACCGTTGATTAGGTTTCCACTGCCCAGACCTTTGGGTGCATCTAGAAAGCAGATCCCCTTCAGGGACTTCAATATGATTACGGTAGTACAGTGTACTTTTTAAATCCCAAAACCCTACCTACACGTGTGCCCAAAACCCTGAACCCCAAACCAAGGGTCTGCAAGTGATCGAGCCTTGAGCATCAGGCGGAGCGCGCTTGGCAGGCCCACCATCGTATTGGCCTCCCAGAATCAGGTCGACTCTGAAGCGACTTTCTTGTCGTCGGGTCTGGGAGGGCAATGGGTGGTAGGGTTTGAGTGGGTTAAGTTAAGGGTTAGAAGTGAAGGGCTAGGGATGAACGGAGGGTTGTTCGTTGACAAGCACACCCTGGCACAATCACACCGAGGAATGACCCAAAGCTCTGCGCGGATTTGCCCCCGTCCTTTGGGAGCTTCGCTAGTAGAGACCGGGAGCTGCTAACCCTAAACCGAAGGAAAGGGCTGACTTTCCTGGGGCTAGGGCTTCTACCCTAAACCCTAAACCCTAAACCCTAAACCCTAAACCCTAAACCCTAAACCCTAAACCCTAAACCCTAAACCCTAAACCCTAAACCCTAAACCCTTTCTGGATTGTGAGTATGTGGATCATAGGGCTCTAGGCTTTAAGGATATGGCGGTTGTTGTGTAGATTCTATCACGCGGAAAACGGACTTTCCTCGCGGGAAAGAGTGAAGTCGTTCCTGGCTACTTTCGCGCGAACTCTCGGGGACTGTGTTCATCTCATGTCAATCATGCTTTACCACTTTGGAGTGTCGGTTAAGTATAGGGTTCTAGAATGACTGGCAAGTTGCCTGGTCGCAGTTCAGGTGCGGCATACGCCAGCCACTGGTCGAACACTGTTTGTAAGTCCATGGTCTCAATCGCAAGGCGAAGAAGGCCGGGGCCTTCAAAAGCTACCTGCACTTTCGTGGAATTTTTTCCATGCTGCTGCGGGACGTTCACGACAAAGGAGCTGAGGGTCTAGGGTCTAAAAACTCTAGTTTTTGGTTCGGGTGTATGATACCCCAGCTACAAGGTAAACCCGGTAAACCCCGAAATAGTCTAGACTCGAGGGCTTACGGTCCGCCTTGGCAGCCTGGAGCATGGCGGCCGCCCCGGGGATGATGACGCCGCAGTTCTGGCAAGGGGATCAAGAGGGTCTACAAAGGGCGGCTGGGGGGTTGAATCCTTCGTAAGGCTTAGGACTTAGCCCCTATAGAGAGCCTACCAAGCAGCGGCAGAAAGTGTTAGATTTTCGGCTTCAAGGCGAAGAGGTTGACTCGAGCATATTCGTTCAGGGTCACCTAAACCGTAAGCCGACACTCTGACACCCAAACTCGGACGGGGCTAAGAACCGCCACGCTATTATCTATTATCCACGTAGGCCCTGGACAGTTGAGCGCTGTGCCTCATAAACCGTGAACCCAACAGTCCCAAACCCTACAACCGATGATCACCAAGCCCAACCCACCAGCCTCGGCGTCACCATTCAGCCACTGAGTGAGGCCTTGAGACCAAAGGGTTGACAGCGATATCTAGACCCAGGAGTAACCTGGTAATAAAAAAGGGTACCCTTGTTGGCTTTAAGGGGATTATAAGGGAACCCCAACCCTAAAATAGAGGAAACAAGGGCCTACTCCGGGTTCAAGTCGTTTAGGGCCTGGAAAGCTTCGGGTTTTAGGGCCTGGGGGGATTTGACGGTTTCGGCTTGAGGGGTATTCTGCCTTCGCGCTGCCCATGCAGATACGAAGTTAGCCACCATGTGCAGCTTCCACATCTTGCAACTAGATCGATGCCAGTGCGAGTTCCGCAAAGTCCGGGGGAATTGTTGCAACATCCAGAAGCCCGTCGTCATCAGCCTGCGGCACGTAAGCCATGGATGTGAGCTAAGGGAAGTGGAGAATCACGCGTTGGGGTCTTTAGAAACGGCTTTTGGGTAATCAGGTCACAGAAGGTAGATACCCTGTGCCCGAGGAGCCAAGACCTAATCCTAACACCCTCAACCCTAGACCCTAAACCCTAAACCCCAAAATCCTAAACCCTAAAACCAACCCACAACCACACCACAGCGGGGGGGAAACCTAAACCCCACCCTTTAACATCTCAGGCCACATTGGGCAGCCCGGGGCCCGAGCCACTGCGCTCCGCCTGCTCGAGCTCGTCGAAGGCGTTGCACAAGGCGCTGCCTGCCAAACCATCTTGTACAGGTAGGGTTTGGGGTTTAGGTTTTAGGGGTTTCAGGGTTTCAGGGTTTGAGGGTTTTAGGGTTTTAGGGTTTTAGGGTTTTAGGGTTTTAGGGTCTCAGGGTTTTGGGGTTTTAGGGTTTGAGGGTTTGAGGGTTTTAGGGTTTTAGGGTTTTAGGGTTTGAGGGTTTGAGGGTTTTAGGGTTTTAGGGTTTTAGGGGTTTAGGGGTTTAAGGTTTAGGGTTTTAGGGTTTAGGCGTTTAGGGTTTAGGGTTTAGAATCGTCAACCCAAGGCGGCTTCAAACCCCTAAGTTGGGATGTTCCCTTAAGTTGGGATGCTCCCCGTTATACCAACAGTCCTCCCCTAATGATAATCCCGATTAGGGACTGTTAGTGGGGGAAACATCCCAACCCCTAAGCCATAAGCCCTCGGGCCTAAACCTTAAACCCTAAACTAAACCCTAAACCCTACACCCTAAACCCTAAACCCCAAACCTTCATGAAGCCACGGTTTAAGGCTAGACTTTACTTGGAAGCCCTTTGGACTTAGTAAGCAGGGTGAATACTGCCCCGCCCCACCCCACCCCCCCCCCCCCTCGCCCCACCACGGGGTGTAGCTTGGAGTTTTAGGGTTCGGGTTGAGACGGGGCTCAGTGAACGCGCAGGGCGTTTGGGGCTTCGAGCTGGGGCCATATTCCCTAGATGTATAGGGCCATGAAAGATGAGGGAGGTGGAGGTCTAGGGATGGTAAGCTACCCAATATTCCCTACAGCATAAAAAACATACCGAAAACAAAGAGACACATCAGTTAAGTTAATGTTCCGGGAGGGGCGGTGGATTAACAATTCATGATGTACACTGTCGAAAGTAACCCTAAACCCTAAACCCTAAAACCCTTAAACCCTAAACCCCTGAATCATTGGCCATTCAAAGCTCCCCAGCACGCTCCTCCATCCTTGTCCGAGGCGTCAAAGAGACAAAGTAGCCTGAGAAGGGAATTTTCGACGTTCAGGGTTTAGGGCTTAGGGCTTAGGGTTGAGGGTTGAGGGTTTAGGGAGCTTAGGGTTTGGGGTCTAGGGTGTACTTCGACAAAGCACCCCTGGTGGGCCCGGTGAATCAGTAAGTGGCCTATTAAGTAGGGTTCTTCAGTAGGGTAACCGCCAAGTAGTGTCCCTCTTGGCTGCACTTATGAACTCTACTTATGTCAAGGTCTGGGTTGGCCTTTAAGCCCCTTGAAGGTTTAGGGTTTAGGGTTCAGGCTAGGGTTTAGGGTTAGAGTTTTTTGTATACAGGGTGCCTTCTAAACCCAAGTAAGCAAATCCAACATTTCTGGAAGGCCAACCTAGAGGCGGCCGTAGAGCCGTTTTGCATTGGGTCTTCGGAGCTTAAAATTGGGGTTTAGGGTCTCGGGTTTAGGGTTCAGGGTGAAATCCTACTCATGTGGTGCCCAGGCTGGGTTCCTTATGGTGCGTTTATCAGCAATCCTTTCAAGCAATCCCAGTATTGAAAGGTACCCACACAAAACCTCATATTCTAAGGTATACCAAACCACATCAACCACCCCCCCCCCCCCCCCGCCCCACGATACCTGAATCTCTAGACCCTCTAAGCTCCAAATCCCAAAACCCCAACTGAACCATTTTAAGCCACGAAACCCCATGACTAACACCCTCAAGCCCGAACATGCAAAAACAAATCCCAACAAAAACCCTCGACCCGCACCCGCTCCCTCCCTCCAAAACCCTAAACCCTAAACCCTAAACCCTAAACCCTGGACCCTGAACCCTAAACCCTGAACGGCGCCTCGACAGCGCCTGATGCTCCGGCGAAGCAAACCGGGACATGGCCTTCGATCCTGTGTTCGGGTTGGGGTTTAGGGTTTAGGGTTTGGGGTTTGGGGTTTGGGGTTTAGGGTTTAGGGTTTAGGGTTTAGGGTTTAGGGTCCAGGGTTTAGGGTTTAGGGTTTAGGGTTTAGGGTTGAGGCTTGAGGGTTGAGGGTTGAGGGTTTAGGGTTCAGGGTTCAGGGTTTAGGGTTTAGGGTTTAGGGTTTTAGGGGTTAGGGTTTCGGGGTTTAGGGGTTTAGAGGGTCGGGCTGAGGCTTCCAAGGATTCGAGTACTAGTCGCTAAGTTGCTGGGTTCATAAGGCCCCCCAAAAAGTGTTCACTGTCAGTTCTAGAGAGGCCAGAAAGTGTGTAATGTGTGTTCATTCAGCTACGAAGATTAGGGTCCATTTTGAGGTAGCTGTATCTTTACTTCGGAACTGCGCACCCACTCTACTCAGTCCCCCCGATCCTCAAAGTAGACCCGAGCTTGAAGCTTGAACAGGGGTGAGGGTTTTCCCGGGCTTACAGGGTTTATAGGCTTTATAGGGCTTATACGATTTAGGGGTCTGCCTGAACCTTGAACAGGGGTGAGGGTTTTAGGGTCCTTAGGGTTTCTTAGGGGTTGTAGGCCTTATAATATCGGGTTTATAGGCTTTATAGGCCCCAGAACCTAATTTTGGAACCGTAGGTAAAAACCCAAGAATAAATAGGACATACAGTAGCAATAGCTGTGTGGGTTCACAACAATCCCCGGCACCCTGAACCATAGCACTCTCAACCGATTCAGCAAAGGGGAGCAATGGCAACTTCCAGTTGGTCCTGGAAACACCTTCCCTACTTCTCTTTGGGCGAGAGGACAAACCCACACAAGAGGAGTGTCAAAACCGTGCAGCCATGCTCATCGGCATCCCTTGGTATCAGCACGCGCGTGCGCCACCTGCCTAAACCCTAAACCCTAGACCCTAAACCCTAAACCCTAAACCCTAAACCGCAAACCCTAAACCCACCGGGGAAGGAGAGGTGCCTCGAAGCAGGATGAAGTCATTGTAGCAGGCCCGACCTGAGTCCCGGCGGGCTTCAGGCAGCTAAGGTCCAGGGTTCAGGGTTCAGGGTTCAAGGGTTCAAGGGTTCAAGGGTTCAAGGGTTCAAGGGTTCAAGGGTTCAAGGGTCCAAGGGTCCAAGGGTCCAAGGGTATAAGGGTTCAAGGGTTCAAGGGTTCAAGGGTTTAAGGTTTAGGACATCTAGGGTTTAGGGTGTTAGGGTTTGAGGCTTAGGGTTGGGATGTTTTCCCCTTATACTAACAATCCTGAATAGGGATTCTAAGAGGGGGTACGATGATCCCTATTCCGGACTGTTAGTAATAAGGGGGAAATTCCCAAGTTGAGGGTTCCAAACCCTACACCCTAAACCCTGAAACCTGAACTTGCCGACCGGGAAGGTTAGGGGCAACAAAAGGCCTTTGAGGCGACGGGGAGGGTTGCAAGGGATGGGGCTTTGGGTTAAGGCTTAGTTTAGGGTTTAGGTTAGGCTTTGACCCCTGATACAGTTTCGGGTTCGGGTTTGGGGTAGAGGGCCTAAGTTCATGGGGTTCAGACTTTTAGGGTAGGGTTATAGGGTTGATTACAGAGTTTTGGCGGGTTTCGGGTCTCAAGGCGGGCTTATTTTTTCCACGAGGGACCCAAACCCTTTCAGATAGTTCTGTTCCTGGCAACTCCCGAAGGCCTGGCCTCAACGAACAAACATGACATAGCCCAGGCATGGGATTAGAGCTAGGTAAAGGGTTTAGGGTTTGGGGTTTAGCACTGGGGTATTCTTGTACCCGCCCCCCCCCCCCCCCCCAACATGTCTGGTAGAATGGGAATGCTTTTTGCTAGGAACGATCATTTTGTCAGGATGTGCTTCAAAGCTAACCCCTAACTCCGAAACCCTAAACCCTCAAGCAAACCCTAAACCCTAAACTTAAACCTAAACCCTCATCTAGGGGCTTTTACCTGGGACCCCTGAGGAGACACCCTTGTGGTCGTCCTTTTGAAGATACTCTGGGCCATGTTAGGAGTAAGGCCTAAACCCTAAACACTAAGATTTGGGTTTAGGGTTCAGGGTCGAGAATTTAGGGTTTAGGGTACATTGAGGGAACCCTCTCCCGCAGAAAGCCTCTGTTGCCGAGGCCGGTGCCATCCGACACCCAAAGCGCCTGCTCGCGGAGCTCTATAGGGTTTAGGGTTTAGGATTTAAAGTTTAGGGTTTAGGGTTTAGGATTTAAAGTTTAGGGTTTAGGATTTAAAGTTTAGGGTTTAGGATTTAAAGTTTAGGGTTTAGGGTTGTAGGTTGTAGGGTTCGAGGTCTAGGGTTTAGACCCTACGCTTCTCAGGGAACCCTAAGCCCTAAGGCTTAAATGCCCCCGGCAAGTCGGCAAGATACAAAAAACATGAACCCTGAACCTGTGAATCCTTAACGCCTCAACCTTGGAATCCCTCAAGCTGACGAATTCAGGCTGGGGTTTAGGGTTTAGGGCTTAGGGTTTATGGCTTAGGTTAAGGTTCTGAGCCTCAAGTAGGAATGCTAGACCCTAGGCACGTGTATTGCGAAGTGCTAGGGTTACCCAGACTCGTAACAATAGAGGACAATATCGTTTTGACTTGCGCTTGCTTGCGCTACGTACCCTATCCAACCCAAAAACCCTGAACTGGTTTATAGGGTTTAGGATCAGAGCAAACGAGTGTCGCCGGCAAATGGATTGTCTGACAAGGCCAGTTCATCCCACCCCCCCCATGCAGTGCGAGGCGGCATGCTTCCCTAATCTATTCATGCTAGGGTTTCGACCCTAAATGTCACTTTAATCGCAGGTCCTTGTCATTAAGTCACTTTAGTTGCAGGATTTTGTTCATCAGCTCTTGAAAGCTTTCGCAGGGTTGGCTTTATGGAGAAGTTGAGCATATCTTGTGGGGACGAGGAATCTGAGCCTCAACAGGGAGGGACCACAAAGTTCGTCTCCCAGTCTGTGAGAGGCGGGCGAGCGACTTTGGTCGGCCATCGCGCGGGACTTGGTCGACGACCCCCCTTCCCTCCCCCTCCCACATACTAGGGGCGGCCTAGGCTGTAAGTACAGGGCATTTAGAGTCTAAGGATGAAGGAACGATGGAGTTGAGGCCGCAACTATACAGACTCGTCTTGGCCCTTAACTTCCGGTAGCCCTGAAGCCCCTGCAAGGCCTAAATCCCAACTCTAAACCCTAAACCCTCAACCCAAAACCCATACAGACCCTTCTTGGCCCTTAACTTCCTAGCGCTGAGACCCCTGTAAAGCCTAAATCCTCACCAACCCCAAACCCCCACACCCTAAACCCTAAACCCTATACCCCCCCCCCGCACCCTCGGACTGCCTGGAGTGCATCTAAGCCAGGGGTGCAGCGCTTGAACTGGTTCTCGTTCCTGGGTTTGCGGGTTCAGGGGTTGGGTTGCCTAAACCCCACACCATAAACCCTAAACCCTAAACCCTAAACTGCTAATAAGACAACCGAAAGCTACACTTGCGAATACTTTTATGGTAGCCTTTCCCCTCACCAAGAACAGGAAATAGCTTAAACCCTGCTCATGCGTAGGGTTCCGTGTACCGAAGGTTCCCCCCAAAACTCGTGGCCTTGGAACTGAAAAACCCCTAAACCCTCTAAACCCTCTAATCCCTCCAATCCCTCCAAACCCCCTAAACCCTAAACCCTAAACCCTACGCAAGCATTGAGTCGACCTACTTCAGGGAAGGTTTAGGGTTTAGGGTTTAGTGTTTAGGGTTTAGGGTTTGGGGTCTAGGGTCTAGGGTGTAAGTGTAGGGTCTAGGGTTTCGGGTTTAGGGTGTAGGGTTTAGGGTTTAGGGTTGAGGGATTGGGGGGCCGTGCTTCTGTTGCCTTTGACATAGTTGGGAGTAGAGGCTATTTTGGGCTTAGGAGTTGTGCCTTGGACCCTTAAGGTCGTACTCTTGTGTTTTCGAGGAACCTTTACAGATCCTCAAGGTAGTAGAAGGGCCACATTAGGGATACCAAGGTACGAGTCTTCATCCCTTGACTAGGAATCGCCAGGGGGGCGGGGGCGGGGGGGGGGGGGGCAGAGAAGTGGATTCTCTAGATTCCTCTTCCTGCTGATTGGGGTTTATGGCTTGTGGTAGGATTTAGGGGTTTAGGGTTGCCTTTGCATGCCCGAAGCCCGCCAAAGAAGCCACCCAACGGCCACAAAAGCCTGCCGCCGGGCAGCATGAAGAGGCAGCCGCTCTGGCTTTTTGAACCTCGAGAAACCCCCCGAACCCCCAAACCCTAAGCCCCAAACCCTAAACCCCAAACCCTAAACCCTAAACATGAATCCCTAAATCCTGAGGGTTTAGGGTTTCGGGTTTGGACTCCGAACCGCCTAAACCCCTTGTAGTCGCTGAGCCCCAAACTTTTCAATGGACCCTAAAGGCACTGAAACCTCGAGAAGAATCGAAAATGGACCTAAAGTATGCCAGCTAGAGGAACACTGGCAGGGGTTTGGGGTTCAGGGGTTCAGGTTTTTGGGTTCAGGGTCAGTAGATTCCTAAGTAATCAAGGGCAGGCAAGGGTTTAGGTTTTTAGGGCTCAGGGATAGGCCCCCTACTATCTGAACTTCCCATACGCCTCAAACCCCTGAAGCCACTAGAAATACTTGGTAGCCCAGCAACCATGTTATAACAAGAGCACCCTTTTTTGGGTTGGTTATTTTATAAGGGAACCCATAGCCAAACAAAAGCACTAACAAGGCATTTCAGCAGGCGCCCTTCTTGCTTTCATGGAACGAAGAAGGCAGCCTACCCCCCTCCATCCAAAAGCGCAAAAGGAATCAGCTCCCCAGTGCGAGTCCTACCCGAATCCCTAAACCCTAAACCCTAAACCCTGAACCCTAAACCCTAAACCCTAAACCCTAAACCCTCAACCCTAAACCCTAAACCCTAATCCATGCTCAGCTGCCAAGCTTGCCGCACATCTGCGCGAAGATCCGGAAGAGGAAGAAGGAGTGGCCGTCTTGACCGTGCGCCTTCCTGGGTTTCAGTGATGTATCTAGGGGTTTTACCTTAGACTGTCAGGGTTTAGGGTTTAGGGTTTAGGGTTTAGGGTTTAGGGTTTAGGGTTTAGGGTTTAGGGTTTAGGGTTTAGGGTTTAGGGTTTAGGGCTTGGGGGGGCCGTGCTTCTGTTGCCTTTGACATAGTTGGGAGTAGAGGCTATTTTCGGCTTAGGGGTTTTACCTTGGACCCAAAAGGTTGTGCCCTTGGGTGTTGGGGACCTTTTTTTGAGGTTTTTAAGGTAGTATAAGGACCATATTAGGAGTTATTAAAGGGAACCTTTAGGGGTACAACCTTAGGGGCCTGGGAGTGCGAGTCTTATTCCCTTGATTGGGTGCTTTAGGGCTTTTAGGGTCATAGGGTTGCAGAGTTTTAGGAAGACCACCCAGAAAGCCCAATACCCCACAATTTGAGGAATACACCTCAAGTCATAGTAAGGATCCCTACGTGATTTAAAGTATTCCTTAATTGGGCTCTGTGTGTAGTTGAAACTTGGGAAGCCCAGCAGCCAGATCAAACAAGAGAGACCCTAAAGCCTAGTTTAGGGTTAAGGGTGTAGGATTTAGGAATTGTGCAAAAGGAATCCGACAGCCTGAAAAGGGCAAGCGCGCTAACCCTAAACCTTACTTGCCAAAAACCCTGACCCCTAAGCCAAACAAAAAAGGCACAGAACCGCACTGGCCCCGCCGAAGTGCGGGGTTACGAAAATAGGGGTGCCCTTCCAAGGGCCCTTTTTTTCGAGGGGATTCCACGAAATTTGGGGGCAGAAAGGGGTACCCCCCCATTATAGGAAACCCCCAGATGCGGAAGGTTTAGGGTTTGGGGTTTTGCGTTTGGCGTGCCAGTTGGCTCGGATGCCATAGCCATTGGCCCAAAGCCGTAGCTCAGACCAACTCAAACCCCTCAACCCTGATCTTAGGGTTCAGGGTTTAGGGTTTCGGGTTTAGGGTAACTCACCCCGGACTCAACCCCACCTGAACCCGCCGTCTCTGTGCCTATTCCGCCTCCGGGCGAGGCACAAGCGCTCCTTCACCATCACCAGATTTGCAGCAGTGTTCTCACCCAGCAGGAACTGGCTGAACCTAATTCCGGCTTTCGGGCGGCTTGGGCGTTTAAGCTTCAGAGGGTAGAGGATCACCCTAAACCCTAAACTCGGGTTGAGTTCTTCAAAGAGGGTTACGGGCTGGAGCTTTACGTTGTCCTCCACCCTTAGGCGAGGGATTGTCGGCGTTGAGCTCAAGAAATCTCCTCACCTGGCCTGGGTCGGTTGTACTCCTTGCCCAGGAATCCTAACGCCTAAGAATCCAGACTGCCCACCCCTCGACAATTCAAGGAGTCAAATTTGGACCCCTAAGTAGGCACCCCTCAGAAGTTCCCTGAATACACCCCTACTATGGCCTTTCTCTTCTTACAGGCTCTTTCGAAAGGGTCCCCCCCCGTAATCTTTAAACGGGTCCCCAAACCCAAGGGTACAACCTTAGGGGTCCAAGGTAGAATCCCAAACCCGGCCAAAGTGACTCGAAGTCCACGCTGAGAATGTCGATGATGAGCTTCTTGTACCTCGGGAAGGGGGGGGCTCAGTTCGTAGGGTTTGAGGGCTTTCGGACTTTCGGATCGAGGGTTTAGGCCTTTGGAAGGTTCATGCCGGTCTTGTTGTTGGTTTAACGTGGCTTATACACTGGTCCGTAGCAAAGAGAACAAAGGGGGCACAGAATGCCGGACCTGATTCTTGGGTTGCAGGGTTTAGGGTGTGGGTTTAGGGCCATGTGCGAGCAGCTTCTGAACGCAAGCACTGAACCCTGAACGGACTACGACACCGTGATCTTGGAGGAGCGGGGGACGTACGCAAGTAGTTGAAGTAGCCATTTCGCAAGCGAAATTTGTAGGATGACCCCAATGGCCCAATGGGTCCCTCTGCGGACATTATTCAAAACTACGTGTGCGCACTAAGTCCCCCGATCTTCCAAGTAGGGGCTTCAGGTCAGCGTCTGGGGCCTCAGAGTTGCCCAAACGCTAAACCCTAAATCCTAAAACCTGAACCCTAAACCTCAGGGTTTATGCCTATTGTAAGGAAACTCAAAACTTAGGATTTCTCCGAGCCCGAAAAGATTTCAAGAGCTCTCCTTAGGAGATTTCCGGACCCTCCTAAGGAGATACCCGGACTTTTAGGGTGTAGAGCTTACGGTTTAGGTTTGAGGGTTTAGGGCTTACATTTGAGGTTTAGGGTTTAGGGTGGCAATCGAGGAACGCAAAAAGAGGGCAAAGAGGGAATCGACAACGAAGCATCACGCTTGAAGCCCTAAGCCCTACAAGCCCTAAAGGTCCTAAGCGCTTTAGGCCCTATACGCCCCCTAAGCCCTAAACCCTAAACCCCTAAACCCGATTAAACCCCAAAAGCCTAAGCCCTAAACCCTGAACCCCAAACCCAAAGCCCAAGCCGAGCCAGAACTTGTCAATGCAGCTGAGCCACTTCTCATCCAAGCGGTTAAACGATGGGACGACCTGCTCCGGGGGAGACTTTCGGTTGCCGCAAACACTAAACCCCAAACCCTAAACCCTAAACCCTAAACCCCAAACCCTAAACCCTAAACCCTAAACCCTAAACCCTAAACCCACCAAAAAGCCAGCAGCCCACCCAGGCCTTCATGTTCTACGTAGGGCTTTGTGGGTGTAGGGTTTAGGGTTTCGGATCTAGGGACTTAGGGATCAGGGTGCAGGGTGTAAGAAGCCTGCCCTAAACCCTAAACCCTAAACCCTAAACCCTAAACCCTAAACCCTAAACCCTAAACCCTAAACCCTAAACCCTAAACCCTAAACCCTAAACCTCAAACCCTCAAACCCTCAACCCTAAACCCTAAACCTTGGGGTTTAGGGCTAGGGTTTACCCGAAACCCTAAACCCTAAACCCTAAACCCTAAACCCTAAACCCTAAACCCTAAACCTTAAACCCAAGCAGCCTCGGGGTTCGACTGCAGGATTTGCGCCAAAGCCCTGTCATGCCTCGGGCGGTTTTGAGGGCTTTGGGGGGTTTAGGCCGCTTCGGGTTTAGGGTTTTGGGGGGGGGGGGGGGTTTGGGGGTTTAGGCTTTAGGAGGTTTCGGGTTTAGGGGTTTAGGGGGCTTAGGGCTTAGGGTTTAGGAGGTTTCGGGGTTTAGGGGTTTAGGGTTTAGGGTTTAGGGTTTAGGGGGCTTAGCGGGTCTAGGGGGCTAGGTTTAGGTTTGTTGCCTGGAAATGCTCCCCGTGCAAAGCACTGGCTGTCACGTCCTCAAGCGCTGCTGTTAGAGTCGTGATCTCTTTAGCCATCGACTCCTCAACAGATGCCCGGGGTCAGATCTTCCAAAAATGTTGTCAAACCAAACTGCCGGTGATCCATCCACGCGCTGTACAGAATGCAGAATGTGCTCTCCGCACGGACCCCGTGTTTGACTCAACCCCCCCGGCCCTCCGCCATGTGTTACACGAGTTTAGGGGCTTAGGGGCTAGGGATTCAGGCTGAGGAGTTTGGGGTCCCAGGGAACAGGCTTAGCGGCTCAGGCTCCCCCATCCCCGAGGTTTAGGGTTGAGACCTCAACCCCTAACCCCTTGGTGGAGACCCTCCATACCTTAAACCATCACCCTAAACCCTAAACCCTAAACCCTAAACCCTAAACCCTAAACCCTAAACCCTAAACCCTAAACCCTAAACCCTAAACCCTAAACCCTAAACCCGAAGTGGGGGTATTCGGAGGTTCAGCCCAGGCCCACGGATACTGACCGAATCACCCCCAAGACACAGTAAGGTTTAGGGGTTTCTGGTTTAGGGTTTAGGGTTTTCGGTTTACGGTTCAGATTTTCGGTATAGGGTTCAGGGTTTAGCCCGAAGCACCAAGCCCTAAACCCTGAACCCTCCAAAAAAAGTCCAGTGACATCTGTGCCGTGTATTTGATGCTGGAGAAGTCCTCCCGAAAAGCCGGGAACTTTCCTCCGGGAAAGGCCGCGGCTGGAACTTCGGACCCATACAGCTTACACAGTGTTTTAGGGCTGATGGTTTAAGATTCGGGGTTTAGCCTTTAGGGCTTGGGTTGTAGGGTTTAGGATTTAGGGCTTGGGGGCTTAGGATTTTGGGGGAGAACCAACTCACATCGAGGAACAACATGTTCAATAGCGGTCTAGTGCACTCTAAGCCCTAAATACACTGTAAACCCCAAGCCCTACACACAGTATTGTAGGCCGAAACCCAGGCAGCTCTCTAAACCCAAAACCCTAAAGACCCCTAAGGCCCAGACTCTACAAAGGGTTTAGGCGTGAGGGAAGACTTACATAATGCTTTGCAATACAGCTTTAGAGGGTTTAGGGTTGTTGGCTGTGCATACAAGGCCTGTGTGGGGGGGGGGGGGGGGGGGGGGGGGCAGTTCTTTACAAAGTAACCGCCAAACTCAAACCCCAAAGCCAATCCTAGCCCAAACCTGACGCCTCAAGCTGCTGTGAAAGCAGGGAAGCCCGATGCGGCTTCGGGCTTTTCGGTTTGGGGGTTTTGGGTTTGGGTTTGGGTGTAGGGTGCGGGTCTAGGGTTCAGGGTTTAGGGTTTAGCCCTGAAAACCCTCAAGGCGACTCCCCAGACGTGGTCCTAGCGCATGGATGGCCATGATCGTTAGCACCTGCGCCAGCTCCACAAAGGTTGCTTGGGGCTGGTAGGGCTTGGGGGGTAGGGGGGTTAGGGTTTAGGGGCCAGGGCTAAGCGTCTAGGGTCTGTGACTTTAGGATTTGTAGGGATAGAAGTATGCGTTGCTAGGGCCGTTGATGCCCCTCAAAGCGTCACCTGAACCCTCAACCCTCAACAACACCCAGCTCTTTCGGACTCAAGGACTGGGGAAAGGGTTTCGGGTTAAGGCTTTCGGTTCAGGGTGTGGGGACAATGTCAGGGGAATGGTCGGGTGTAGGTCTTTGGGATCTTTACGGCTTTTGGCTTTCTGTTGGGTGTGTTTAGGGCCTTAGGGTTTAATCAAAGAGGAATCGAAAGAGATGCGCTTGCTCCGTTTGGGTGCTTTGCAGCCCTAGACCCTGAACTCTAGAACCGAAACTCGAAACCCTCAGGGCTTGGGGTTTGCTGGTCGTATCCTTGGTTTGCAAGCTTATTGTTTCGGGGCCTCAGCTCCAAGCCTTCACCCCTTCCATTCTTCGGAACCATTGGTAAACACATTGCGCATAACAACTTAGCCCTGACGGTTTAGGGTTTAGGGTTTAGGGTTTAGGGTTTAGGGTTTAGGGTTTAGGGTTTAGGGTTTAGGGTTTAGGGCTCAGGGTTTAAGAGTTAGGGTTTAGGGTGCAACTCCAAACCCTAAGCCCTAAAACCCAAAACCCTCCAGCCCCACTGTGTGCCAACAGACGAGGAGCTGCATCCACTTGCTCGGGTGTGGCGAGTCGAACCGACCTCTGCAGCCAATCCTGACAGGCGCATTTAGGGTTTAGGGTTTGGGGTTTAGGGTTTTGGGTTGTTGGTTAAGGTTTAGGGTTTAGGGTTTGGGGTTTAGGGTTTAGGGTTGTTGGTTAAGGTTTAGGGTTTAGGGTTTGGGGTTTGGGGTTTTAACTTGGGTTTTAGAGTTAGGGTTTAAGGTTGAGGATTTAGGGTTCAGGGCTTAGGGTTCAGGGTTTCGGGTGATCCCCACTTCTGGCCCACTACTGCCCCTAAACCCTCAGATCGCGAAGCCCGAGAACTCCTGTAGCATGAAAAGCCCTAAGCCCCCAACCGCTACACCTTACCTACAGCCTGCATTCCGCAACAGCCAAACACCTATCCCTAAACCACAAGACCTGAAAACCCGCCCGCAAACAACAACCCAAAAACCCCGAATCCCTAACCCCTACATCCTAAACCCTAATCTCCAAAGCCCAAAGCCCAAAAGCCCAAACCCTAAACCCTAAATCCTAAACCCCAAACCCTCAAACCCCAAACCCTAAACCTAAACCCTAAACCCTAAACCCTAAACCCTAAACCCTAAATGGCCTGAATCCAAGCCCAGCTCTGGCGCGAGAGCTGGCAGTCCGACGGCTGGCCCCTGATGAAGGCCTGCGAGTCGACTTTTAAAGTTTATAGGGTTTGGGGTTTAGGGTTTAGGGCTAGGGTTTAGGGTTTAGGGTTTAGGGCTTAGGGTTTAGGGTTTAGGGTTTAGGGTTTAGGGTTTAGGGTTTAGGGTTTAGGGTTTAGGGTTTAGGGTTTAGGGTTTAGGGTTTAGGGTTTAGGGTTTAGGGTTTAGGGTTTCGTTTAGGGTTTAGGGTTTAGGGTTTAGGGTTTAGGGTTTAGGGTTTAGGGTTTAGGGTTTAGGGTTTAGGGTTTAGGGTTTAGGGTTTAGGGTTTAGGGTTTAGGGTTTAGGGTTTAGGGTTTGGGGCTTAGGGTTTGGGGCTTAGGGGTTTGGGGGTTTAGGATTTAGGGTTTGGGGGTTTAGGGCTGGGGGCCTGTGAGCCGACTTTAAGTGTTTGGGGATATTTTTAGGGGTTTAGGGTCTAGGGTTCTGAGGTTTAGGGTTTAGGGTTTAGGGTTTAGGGTTTAGGGTGTAGGGTTTAGGGTTCTGAGGTTTAGGGTTTTGGGGTTGAGGGGTTCAAGGTGTGGGGTTTTGGGGCTAACAAGGGGTTCATAAGGTTGTGGGGCTTAGGGCTTTTTGCGGGTGTGAGGGTTCAGGGCTTCAGGCCTCCGAAGGCCTTTTTGGTGGGAGTCCTGGGGTCAGGGGTTGCGGGTTTAGGGCTTAGGGTTGAAGGTTTAGGGTTTAGGGTTTAAGTTTTAGGGTCTAGGGTTACCTCCACTTAAGGTTTAGGGTTTAGGGTCTAGGGTTTAAGGCTTGGGGGTTCCGGGTGTAGGCTGGGGTGATAGGGCCTTCCATCAGCAAGCAGAA